CCTCACCTGACGATCGGCATCTGAGGTGCGTCATCTTCGATCTGACGCGGGAAAGGATCTGAGGCACAACATATATATCGATATAATTATATAATTTTTTTATGAACAAAAGATACAAAACCATTATTCAATATTAAGTCAAATTTCATGTTTTTTTTAACCATGCCAATTTGAAAGATTTTTTAAATAAATAAATATTTATGAAAACCGTTATTTAAATCAAAAAATTTATAATGCTGAAATTTAGGATATCTATTTATAAATCCTACTAAAACCACCTATACCAGATACTCTTTAATTATAACCTTAACCCTAAATACTGATCCAACCATAAAAAGAAAATCTAGAAAATTTTTTATAAAATTTCATATTAAAATAAGTTCAAATTTCAGCATCATCCAGACATTTATTACAATCAAAAATACGTACTTGCTTTCAAACTGATGATCAATGATTGATGCTTATTTCGATGTTCGAAATTTTTGATCGATGATCTAATTATTATTAATCGATTCTACTCCCTACAATTGAGAATCAGAAGGATAAATAATAAAGAAAAAAAAAAGGATACTTATTCGCTTTTGCTTAATATAAAACACTGGTAAAGTCAATAAACCTTACCCTCATATTAAGACGTTGATGACCTATCTTAATCCGCCGTTATTTACATTCGTCGATCATTGAAGGTCGTGACATATACTAAATAGAAGTTAAATTGATATCAAAATTATTTCAATACTATGGACGATGTACTTAAACAGTAGAATGCCAACCACTAGCGATCTAAAAGAATATCTATTCGTAAGATTTGATTTAATAATTAAATCAAGACTTAATTTAATAATTAAAAGCAATAACAATTAATTATATATATACCTGATTCATATTAACAGCGTATACAATTGAGCTTGAACTTGTGTTTCTACCAATATAAATAATATGATATAGACAATTTGGGAATATTATCATGTATAAAAAATAATTGTCGAACCATTAAAATTTACTCCTCCAAAAATAAACATCTTGCGCGAAACCAATATCAGTGTTGCCCAGTGCGGTGTCTTAGTATTAATTCATATAATGAAGATGCTGTATATAATATGCGGTATTTGAATTATGTATAGCTCTACCAAGGTCTTTTTTTCTTGTAGCTTTACCTTTATACGCAATTTGAATTTACAGATCTCGTACTCGTTTAGCTCCACACAGACTTAAATAAACTGTCGTACTATCGGATAGCTACGGGATATATCGGGTGATACTGTATAAATTTATGAAAAAAATATCGAATATTAAAAAAAAAAAAAAAATTGAACGACGGGTAATGTAAACCGAAAACCAACTTTGTATGACCTTAAATTAAACCGGTTTTCTATTTAACTAACCTATCAGGGGTTTTAAAATTGAATAGTACCCATGGGTACTGTGTGAAGAACTGGGCATTATTTTGGGGGGATACTATAAGCAGTGGCATACCGTAGTAGTTTTGGTTTTAGTAGTTTCTGACATTTCAACCAAAATGCTCGTAATCTCAGGTTCGATCCCAACACGCCTTGCACTCAGCCGGACTCGAGCGCAGGGCCATACAGTGCTAGCACTATTATGACCCACGCCCTAACCGTTAATCCACATCAGATCCTACTAAACCTTTTTTTTTCTTATTATTTATGCCATTATTGGTGTTACATATTATTTTCACACAGAGCCAAGTCCTCAAGCACAATCCATTCTAATAAATTAAAGACCTGTAAAAAAGAATAAATATTTAATGAAGAAAAAAAAGGACAAACAAACAAAGAACAACATCTAGTTCTTATCATTCCATTTCCCAGTCAGATCTGACCATCCGTATTCCAGCCGCTCTGACGAATTAAAGAGAAAAAATAAATTGTTCCTGTTTCGAAAAAAAACCTAGTTACGTACTTCTCATTTATTTATCAGGGTTGCCATTTTCTTGACCAGATCTCCAAATACCATTTGTGTTCCACTCTAACAAACCAAAAACTTGCAGAAAAGAAGAAATTAAATTAGTTCCTATTTTTAAAAAAAACACACAGAATAAAAATAGAATTAGGTGCTTATCAATCACCTATCCTAGTTACCATTCGCGTTCCAACCGTCTTAGCGAACCAAAAATCTACAAAAGAGAAGAGATTTAGTTCCTATTTAAAAAAAAACACTCAGAACAAAAAATAGAATTAGGTACTTAACAATCACCTATCCCAGTTACCGTTCTCTCGGCTCGATCCAGATCTCAGTACCATTCGCGTTCCAACTACCTTAGCGAATCAAAAATCTACAAAAGAGAAGAGGTTTAGTTCCTATTTTTAAAAAAAAACACTTTGAACAAAAATAGAACTAGGTACTTAACAATCACCTATCCCAGTTACCATTCGATCCAGATCTCAGTACCGTTCGCATTCCAACCGTCTTAGCGAATCAAAACTCTACAAAAGAGAATAGATTAGTTCCTATTTTTTTAAAAAACAGAACAAAAATAGAATTAAAAACGGTGCACCGTTGGTGCACCAGTTTTCTGGTGAAATGAATTAGTTTCAAGTACGTATGAAAATCATCGTTGATAAGATTAGATTCTACTTTAACAGTACAGTCGCATTATGATTGGTCGAAATTCAACTAACTGTTACAATAAAATCCGTGTAACGTTAAAATGTTTTTTAAACCTTTTATTTTTATGGCTCTTTATCACATACGAAAACGAAGACGAAACCGAACTTGTCATTAAATTATATACTCCTACGAACCGAAAACTATCAAACGTTTTTATCCCGAAAAAATTAATTGTAATGAAATAATGTTCAAGAACATTACGGTTATATTTTATCTCCCGTGTAACATCGGTGTTATATAGACGAAAATTCTTCTTTGACTTTGAATCTTAAGACAACTGATTTATTTTGAAACACGATGTGTAAATAAAAAATCTCAAAAGAAACCAGTTACGAATATTCGTAGACCTAAAACTCCTGTTCAAATACCAAACGATCAGCACATTAGAAGATCAACCGATCGAAATGTTAATTCACAAACAGCAGACCACCAATAATTGATTTCTATAATTAACACGCAGTAAGAAATTTATTTTTTCTTCTTCTTTATTTACATAACTAAATAACGCATTCTATATTTTAATGTTTTATTTTTCATTTATTAAAGTCAACGAATGACATTGATGAAGTCAGTATTTTAAGCGATAATATTTATCGTTTATTGATGTTTAAAATTGGTTGTATGGGTTCTAATTATGGTCCGAAAACAATTCCATCCATGTTAGACGTACATATGAATCTGGAACAATCATTACAAAAAATAGATGAGATGTTACGAAAAACTGTACCACCAATCGTTGAACGAGTTCTCCGTGAAAAATATGATTCGATTATTCCCCCTGATAAAGAGCAACTTAACGAATGAGCAATGCTGTAACGTTAAAGGAATGAAACGTTATAAGTTCCAAAATTAAATTCTTTAGGAATTAATGATATTCAAATTAATAAAAACGAGGAGAAGGCTTTAGCAAAGACTTTCAAGGAAAACACCACGCTGACTTCTTTAAATCTCTGTGGTGGTGGACAATTTGAATAACAGAAATAATCTAGCCGAAGCACTTTAAAAAATAGTTAATTGGACGAATGGTTATCGAATTGGATTTCGAGACTTTGAAAAAAAATGGTTGATCCAACGATAGACAAAATCATTAGGTTAATTAATAAACAATTAGAACATTTGTTAAAACTTCCTAACAGCTGCAAATAAAGTTATGTCCTTGATATGAAGATTTAGTGAACCAAAATATTTGATAATAAGAGTTAGAAAAAGATTCCAAGGACGTGTCCCTATATTGCATCCCTCGACAATCGATAGCAGCTATTGTTAAAGGTGCGGTAGCGTCATGAATCAAATATGGTTCTTGTTGAAAGTCGAACGTACGGAGTTGAGGTAAAAGCAGATTTTGACATTTGTAATGACCACTTAGACTTCGGTAAGATGCATTCTATTATGATTAAGTATTACTGTAATTCGTAAATTTATAGCAATTAATGCCGTTCTATATTTTAGAGCAAGTGATAAGATACAATGGCAGAATTTAAAGTATACATTAAAACAGCATGTCAACCTAAATACATTAATATGAAATGCGATTATTCAAAAGGCTACGAGATCGTCCTGTGGAATTTGGATTAACTTTGGTACGACGGAAATAAAAGTCAATGTCAGAAACAAGTTAACAAACGAAACATATTATACGATTTTGAATTGGATATTAAAAGATAGTTATTCATATTTCTTGAAACCATTTTTTAAATCAATTTTTGTAATATTCAATTTGTTATTTCAATAAATTGTCAGCCTATGTTTTTGAAATGTAATCTTTAACAGTCATAATAAAAATGCAATACAACATCCCGTTACTTCAGAGCAAGCAAAAAGAATATACAGATGCCTGTTTTTGTTTTGCTGTAAAATGTTTGGTGTTATGATCAGGTGTAGGTTGAATCACTGAATTTAGAACATGCATTAGCAATTTTTAAGATATAGACACATTTCCGTTTTAACTAAAAAGGGATTATAGTGATGTATGAATGTATGTACAGTAGGCGGCAAAAGTAATGCCCAATTTTTTGATAAAACAAAAACAATTGATTTATTTAATTTTTGCGCGACACTCAAAGATTACACAAACTTTAAAAGCCAATAACTTTTGATCTACAAAAGACACTGTATATATGCTAATAAATTTTTTTTATAACTAGTTAACACATTGTTTAATACACATAAGCATTGAAAAATATCATGATTTTCACAATATTAAGCCTACAACTATCCAAAGAACAAATATAACTTGATTTATTTACTTCTTATTAAGATGACTTTAAAATTGCTTACACTTTCTAGAGACTTGAAACTTTTGAATTTTCATCTTTAACACTTTATAGATATTTTAAATTGGAAAGACTTTATTATTCATATTATAAATCAATTTTTTTTATTTAATAGCTTTTCTATAATATAATTACAATAATAATCTTAATAAAACACTAAATTAATTCAACCAAGAAATAAAAAATAAATACTGTATAAAATGAAATAAAACAGTTTTAGAAATTTAAATATAAAAATTTTTATTAATTTTTTAAAAAAATATTAACAAAATTTTAATTTTACCTATAAAGTACTCTTATTTATTATCAAAGCTCAGCAACTCCAAAATCTAGTACTATACTTATCTTTACATTCTTTTATTATGTAATATTAAATATTAATTTGGTAAATTTGTTTGCCTATTTCTTTTTTTGTTTGTTAAAAAAATAGAAATTTATATATATATATATCTACAGTCGACTCTCTCTAAGTGCATGTTGCCAGAACCAGTACTTTGACTTGCATTTAAAAAGAACTTGCAATTCTGCTTTTATTGTACAAGGAATATGTAAATAAAATACAAAGATTTTTAGCTACTGCCTCTAACTCTCTCTTTTTTAATAAAAGCTTACCTGGTTGTTCAGAGGTGCCCAGATGCAGTTTGTCGCAGCAACTCCTTTTCTCATTTCTGGTTTTCAACTTAAAAAAAGATTCTCTGTTAGATTCTTGAAGAGAAAAAAAATTAAAATTAGTAAAATTTTATTAATAAAAAATAATAAAATCTTTAAAAATTAATAACTTTTGAACTATACAACTCTTTCCAACAGTCACTTTTTCACAAAAAATCCAAAAGCTTTTTAAAAAAATACAAGTATATACACTAGTTGAGTTCAAAGAGGAAGTCTATAAGTCATAACTATCATTTAGAGGTAGTTTTTATATGCTACCAGTTGATAGTCTCAGAGTTTATCACTTACTGCAGAAAATGGCACTTGTTGTTTAGAAGTATTTCTCATATACTACTTGCTAACAAGTTTAGAGTTTATCACTTACTGAAAGAATAAGTACCCATCTCCCAGCCTTCAAGTAAGAAGGGTATATTGCTGTCATATTTAATAAGAAAAATACACTCTTTCACCAAACAAAACAAGTAGTGTTATCTCTTTTTTCCACCTCCTTACTGCTTTTCTAAAATTTTCCACAAAAGTGGGCAAAACAGCTTACTATCTTCAAAAAATTGGCATTGTTCACACCTTCTAAATCTGAATAGTTCTGGCAGGCTATAATCATATGTCTGGTTTGTTTTATTTGCAAGCTGTGCTGCTTCACATAATATTGAGTTAGGCTATTTATGTCATTTAGGAGTCTGGATACTGAGTTAGAAAATTTAAATATTAAGGCAAAGCTTTATAGTAGAAATATTAAAATATTATATTTGTTATATAATTTTTTTTAGTCTAGCATGGGTAATAGTAGTGCTAAAAGATGGAATTTTCTGCTATCTTTTTTGTTTTTTTTTTTTTTGTTCTGTTCTCTTTTATATTCTTTTTCATATTTGTATTTTTTTTATTTTTTTTTTATTTTTTCTTTTTATTTTTATTTTTTTTTTTATTTTCATTTTCTTTTTATTTTTTTTTTATTATTTTACACATTTTCTTTTCATCTTTGAAGAAGAAAAAATGTTAAGAAAAAAGCAATCTTGACAAAGCTATCAATAAGCTTTTAGTGATTTTTTTAGGAATTATCTAGCAAGTTAAATGCTGGAGATGAGTAAATTATTGCTGCAGCAAATTGCATCTGGTACTATTACGAGCAGCTGAGTGAGTCTTTATTGCGAAAATAGAATAATCAAAGGTATTTAGTTAATTGCAAACTTTTTGTTCAGACACTTTGTATACTTGTTTATACTCTACTTATAGTGACAATAAAGGCAGGATTGCCAAATTAAAAAAAATAATAACTTTTGATCTTTTGATTCAATTTGGATAATTTAACTGCCAAAATAATCTTCTCATAAAGACAATTTTAATAAATCTAAAATTAGACAAATCTGATTATATGGTCTTGAGATCATTAATGATTTGTATTATATTTATTATAATAAATATAATATAAAATATTAACAATCTTGAAATTATATAATCAGATTTGGCTAATTTTAAATTTATTAGAATTGTCTCTATAAGAGGATTATTTTATCCAAATTGAATCAAAAGATCAAAAGTTATTATAAATATTTTATAGAATAGATAGGCAATATAAAAAATAAACTCTGCTAATAATTAGTAATTATTAATAAATATTTAGCAGAGTTGCAGAGTTTACAGAGTTTGCTTATCTATTTTATAGAATATCTATTATTAATTTTTAAAGATTTATTATTTTTATAATACAATAGAGGTTATTTTAGTAAAATTTCAAAATATTAGTAATTTTATAATAAGTTTGCAATAAAGTTAGAGTTAGGTTAGAGTTAGGTTAGTTTTAGAATTTAGTTTAAAATAGTATAAAATTGTAAAAGAAACATTTTTGCTTAGTTAAATAACAGAGATTACTCTAATAAAGTTTTGAGATATAGAGGTGTGGTGACTTAGTGTAGTGGTCTAGTCATCACCCTTTCCAAGTGGCAGGTCTAGAGTTCAAATCCCAAGGACGACGATATTTGAAAAATAGGCTTGTGTTCAGTTAACAGCTATGCTTATTAGTTGGATCTAATCTGTAACTTCAGTTACACCATCTAGTAATGGGAGCAATGGCGCAATAAATCTGAGGAA